TCTGTGATTCTGTGATTCTGTGATTTAAATCTGTGTCTCTCTGCGGCAGGCTGAATGCATCTAAAAGAAATGAATCAACTGTCTTGTGCCATCATGGTCTCTACAACAACACTTCGTGGACAGAGTCCCTTCAAATGTTTCTCAAACCTGGATCTACTTTGTCAACATAACTTACTAAGTTGTTCAAAATAGAAGACTAATTCAGAAAACGCTGCCAAAAGCACAATGTTTAATTACGTTTCACTAGTCCATGAGTGAATGAATATTTGCCAATGTGATTATTAAGCACTGGGACACCCAGAATACCATCTGGAGATAACAAACACTTAGGCAGTTTTTCCTTTCAGTCTCCATTTCTGTTATGGCAGCAAATTACGATGTGGAGAGTCAAATCAGTTTCCTAATCTGGCTTTATTTTTTAGATAGAAAACTACTTGCTTCGTAATCATGAGACCAGAAAGTACCTACAGGAGCAAGCATACCGTCTGCAGCAAGGCATTGTCACCAGTACCACTCAGCAGGTGAGAATTTTGTCCTTACTGGTACTTCTTGGTGTCTAAAATCTTCTTGAAGCCAGAGTTCTGTCTCATTCTGTCAGAGCAGCTGAAAGCAAGATGTGCCCTATGGGTGATGCCTTATTTCCCAAGAAATAATAACCGATTATATTTTTGGAAAGAAAAAAAAAAGCTTTTGTGGGAGGGAGGTCTTACATATAGTAGTACTGTGTAGAGAAAGTTCCAAGCTATTTCTGAGTAAATTACTATTGGAACAAGGAACGGTTGAGTTCGTTCATGCTCAGGAGTCTGACTTTTTAGCAGACACTCATCACTGTGACAAGCATCATCGTAAACCTGTGAGTACCTCATCTTAGAGAGTACATCATCTACCTTACACCTTGACAACTGTGGGTATCATGGGAAGCTTTGCTCAGAGGGAGAGAGCAAAGGAAGGTGGAAGTCTTATGCATTTTTATAGTCTGGACAGCTGAAAAGGCTTCCTGTCTAACACAGCCCAAAATACTGCTTTGAAGCTGGGAAGCTTTTGTTCTTTGTCAACCACTACCAGGTTTCCTAAATGCCATGTGTTGTTCTGGTTTTGGTTTGTTTTTTGGTTTTCTTTTTCTATTTTTTTTTCCTTTCTCTTGAGAGGACTACAAGCATTTTCTGTGGTAGCTTACCATTCTCTCTGCTCTAGTGCATTCCCTGCCTGTACCCCTCAGGGCTGTTTTTAGCTCTACTACACCACTGAAGCAAGGTGGTGTAAGCAGAATAAAACTTATCATGGCCTTGGTTTTAAATTTACTGCCATGTTTGTTTGCACTGGTTGTGTTCCCATGCAAATGAGACACCCCAGCAAAAAGGAGAGGAACATCTGTTTTGCTCTTCAGCTGGGTCAGTTAAATTTCTCTCTCTTCTCTGCATTTTTTTTGGTGAATCAAAGTGGCCTTTTTCTACCTGTGTTATTAAAATTTAATGGTACAGTTTTATTACTAGAACCAGAAATTAAACTCCAATCTCTTGACAGAGAAACTAGTATGTGGACATGTACCGACACTAAAAACTGCAAGAGCAGGAACGCTTTATTTTGTTGTAGTAATTTATCTGTTCCGATGCCACCTTTTTTTTCCCAAGTTAATAATCTCCATATGAATTAAGTTCAGATCTTTTTATAGCTTGGTGGTTTTAGTTGTGCTTTTCTCCAACAATCACACACACATCATGTTTCAGTAAATGTAATTTATTGTTATTTTGAAAGTAGAGTAAAATTATTCATTTCTATATTAAGTTGTGTACAATAAAGATGGATTTTTTAAAAACAGTTTTAAAAACCATCTGGAAAAGACTCTGTAGTTAGTATGGTGGGATTACATCATTATTCCCAGAGTATATTTTTTTCAGTCCAGATGTCCCAGTGAGACTTTCCACTGTCTAATAATTAATTAGCTTTTTGTACTTGTACAAAAAACACCCCAAACCCTTTGAAGAGGAAGAATCCTGTGGAGCAGAAAGGGAGCATGCGGTGAAATAATTTCAGTTCTTGTTACTAATGATATAAATGCTAGAACTCTAGACTTTGTATGGTGGTGACATGTGCACTCAGGTGTTGCTTCAAAATGTCAAATAACCAGTTCTGATGAATGCTATGTGGGCTGATAAAGACTTTTATATCTCCCTGCCCCGTATATCTTTATCAACACTGACAGTATGTTGGACATTCTTATTGGTTTGTCTTGTAAGGATACAGATATACCACCTGCCCTCTACTTGCAGCATGTTGAATGAATTGTCACAGATACAGATTACGTTCATTTTATCTGTAGTCTGAACTTCTTAACAATTCAGGGACCTTTGGAGCTAAGTGTTACATATATCAACAACATTTTCAGCATTAAACTCGCTCCAAAAAAACAGAACAACACTTGAACTGGATAGTTTGTTGGCTATTTGCAGTTATCTTGGAGGTAACTGTGGGGGAAATACTCCAAAGCATTTATTTTTTTTAATGGTGAAGGTTTATATATTTTTGCAATGTTTAGGTGTGTCTTTGAGTTATAATGCTTTCCTTCAGTAGCGTTGATATACCTCCAAGCTCTGATCATGCATTTCCAGATTGTTACTGTCACCACAAATCTCATCATGCTACTATTGACTTGCTACCTGGACTGAATTCAGTTTGCGTTTGACCAATATTCTGATGTTTTATCTTTCCTATTTCTTTTGTTCAAGTAGATGATTGACAGAATATGTGTAAAAGTGCAAGATCATCTCAACTCTTTAAGAAACTGCGGTGTGGATGCTGTACAGGAAGATGTCAAATCTGCAGAACGGCTTATGCGGGATGCTAAGAACTCCAAAACAGTAAGCCTTTCCCAGCATACTGGAAATACTGAGAGCAGTTCGGTGTGTGCTCACAGCTTTTCTCTTTTGGGGGAGTTAAAATAACAGTGTGTCACAAAACAGGATTTTCTTCAGATGATTAACTGTAGGTAGTATTTAAAAGTGACAAAATAATTCTGATTTACGAAGACTTGATTCAGCAGAGAGATTTACTCCTATTTATCCAGATTTGAAGACAGATAATGACGAGCCTACTTTCAGAAGTCATTCTTTCTGTCTTACAGCTCTTACCAAATCTGTATCACCTCGGTGGAGCTGCTTGGGCAGGAGCAAATGGTTCACTCTCCAATCCAATCCAAGAGACACTTGAATCCATGGCTGGAGAAGTCACAAGGGTTGTGGATGAGCAACTTAAGGTCTGTGGATAGATGTGTTACCATTTCTCATATGCAGAAATAACTAAATCTGAGATCTTCTGTTACTAAATGCAAATGTGCCACACTTCTTTTTTTTAATACTTCTCGGTATATTTGTACGTACGCTATCTTTTCATTATGACTTTCTTATAACTTTGTGCCGTATTATCTGGATACTTGCCTGGTTGGAATGAAAAAAACTGCTTTAGTGTTTGCAGTGAGTAGAAGAATAATATACTGTTTATTGTTATTTTATTTTATCTCCTAGAAGAGGAAGATCAGTTGCTCTTTAGGCCCTTAATAGAGGCATCTCTCAAGCACCCTAAAATGTCTCATGCCCTGGAGAAAAGTGCTCATTAGTTCAGGTATCCCACTGGAGTGAAAGCTGCTTTTCTGTAGACTCCATCGCAGAAATTTTTTCTCTGTGACCACTTTTGAACCTGGTGCAGAATTTCTACTTTAACTGTTTCGTTTGGATAACTTGAATGTATTGAGAGTGCTCCAAGAATTACTAGAGGGAGGTTTACACAAAATTTTGTCACAAGTTGCCTGTCAAATCTCAGTTCTTGAATTAGATTGCATTGATCTGTAAATATTCTCAGCTGTCTGTTCAGCCAGATCTTGCTCAGAAAATTCTGTCCTCAATTATGTTAGAACTTACTGTATAATAAGCAAGGAAGAGTCATCCATACGACGTGTGCAAAGGTCTCAGACCAGGAAGAAGTCAAGGTGGGAAAACTTCAGCAACAGGTCTGTATGGAAGCTGATGAATTTAAGAATATGGTTCTGAAGCAATTCATACCAACTCAAGTTTGACTAAGCTGCCTTGCCTGTGTTTTGCTTTATTTAAACTTATCAAAGAATCTGAAAGTGAAGGTTGAACTTTAATGCTTTTAGTCAGTGGAAATATAATGAAGAACAGTGATAATACCACATTACTAATTACTTTTTTGAAATTAAAAAGTTAATAAGGAAAAGGGTGCTGAATTTTTATTATTTTCCTCCCTTTCCCCATTATATACAAGAAGGTGAAGATTCTTTAGCACTTTTTAATTTCTGCAGACATGGAAGTGATTTATCCACAGGATTCTTCTCAGTGGAGCTTCTATGCTATTATTTGGATGGGAATAGTCAGGTCAGCCCTTTGTGCACTCTCATATAAGTCCTGTGCATTTTCGATAGTTGTACAGAAGGGGGAAAAAAAGCTTCTTCAGCATTTGAAATGTTATTTATAGTTTCTGGCATAAGATTGAGTTAATGGGTCTTCAATTTATGCTTTTACACATTTACAGCAAAAAACACTTTAGTGCAACCATTCTAACTTTTACATTTACTTTTGATTTGTGTGACGTTAAAGTTATGTGCCTTACAAGAAACTATCAAGTTGTAATGCTCTTTGTATATTACAGGGCTCATTTTTATTAATTTTTACATTCAAGCTTGAAAGGTTTTCCTTTAAGTTCTATGTGTTCTACTTTGTGTGAAGGAGAAAATGTTGAACATGGATTGGGATTTTTTTTTTCCAGTTGTTAATTCAAAACATCATGGGGAGTTTATTATTTGTGGAGATAGATAAGAGAGCTCATCTAAGTACAGTTCTTTTTGTAGTTGTGAGGGAAAAACATCCTACATGCTCTAAGTAGAGTTTTGATTTTTAGTTTCCATAGCAACCAAAGTCTGATTCTAGAAGGAAGTTTTTGGAAATTGGGTAAAGTCAATGAATGATCGTCAGGCAAATAAGAATTTTTCTTTTTTAAGCTCCAAGAAGGAAAGGGGAAGGAAGGAAGAAGTTAGAATAAGGAGAAGCAACATCTCAGAGTGAGTTGAGTTGGCCAAAAGGAGAAATTACAGCAAGGCCTTTGCCTTTCTTTTCTTCTGCTGGTGTCACTGTGGACACACAGAACCCAGAAATGCTTTATTCAGTGGGCAAAAGCCCGAGGGAAAATTGTAGGCAAGACACATGGTGCTTAGGCAAGAGGAGAATGTTTTGTAAGGATGGAAGTGCTTGAACTATTCCTCCTAAATTCCATCCTAGTGCAAAGGGTTTGTTGGCTCCATAACCTGTTCCATTTTTCCTGTAGATATCATCATCCTCCAGTCCTTTTACTTACTGTATCTTTCTCCTGAATGTTAAAAGTGAATGTTAAGAGTGTTAATTGTGAGCAGGACTTCGTTCTCTTCTTTCTGCACACCTGTGGACTGGCACTTGTGGCCTTGTGACTGAAATGTTTGCCTCTCTGCAGTCAATGTTTGTAGCTATGCGTTTCCATTAGTGAAAGATTTTGGGATGGAAGTAGGGGGAGGGGAAAGATTTCTGTAGATACAATAATTGTCATGTGAAATCAAGAGTTGAAATCCACCACCGAAGAAATTAGATTCAGTTGTGAACTTAAAGAAGAGATCCAAACTCTATTTAACCTTTGAATTGCACATTCTCAGTGTATTTTGAGTAAAAACTAATTTTGATATTTTCAGGTAAGGTCTAGTCTTTCCTCCTACTTCCCACTGACACCTTCACACAGCGTTTCTTTACATGATCCATTTTGAAAGACCATGGTTAGACTGCAGTTTTAATTCAACATAGCAAGTCTTTATAACTGTCATGATTGTGATCCATGGGAGGCCGAGTGTGGATTTCAAGGCAGACTACACAGTTGTACCAGTGAATAAATGCCATGGGACAAAATGGATGCGTCAGAAATTCTCGTGAGTAGTTGATCTGACTCAGTTGTCTCTACCATTGAAGTTCTTCATCCTCCACATGGATATGGCCACAGGGGCTTTAAAGGTTCTTCATTAGTGTTATGGCCCCTATATATGTTGAAGGAGGAGAGGGAGTGCAGAAGGAGTCCTGAAAGGGCAGAGAGATTGGAAACCCAGAAACAAGTTCCATATTAGCTATAATATGTTGTTGTCCTCGTGAATCTGCACTTAAAAATCAGTCAGTTAAGAGGTACAAACTAAAAGATGCTGGTTTGAATCACTAGAATTACTATGTAGTAATGTTTTTTTTGTTTCTTACTCATTATCTACATAAAAAAAATACCAGTTATGGTAGGGCTATGCAAAGAGAAAAAAGCTCTGATAAGATGGAGTTCAGCCTGAGATCACTTACCTGTGAAGTAAGATTGAGAAGAAAAAGGAAATTGGTAGAGTTTCCAAGGGGTGCAGTTCATTATTTTTGTATGATTTAGAAGCACCTAGGTTACAGCTAGGCTTAATGAAACTGATTTTGTTCTGTCTTTTATTAACTATCTTTTTCTGTTTGGTTACCAAACTTCAGTCTTACTGGAGATGACTTGGCCTATTTCAGTAAACTGGGCGCTGTCCTGTTCCTCTTTTCCTCCCACCTTCTGTAGGATTTTGAAAAACTGCTCAAAAGCTGCATGCAACATGGTGTATATTGAAAAATCTGGCATTGTCTAATAGTCGCTGCTTTCCCCACTTGTTTAGAGAATTCAAAACTGGGGGAGATAGGTCTTGCACGTACACTGAAGCATGAACCAATGACAGTGTCTTTATTCTCGCTGCCACTTTGAAAGCACCATGGCTCAAGGAGACCCCACAGTCGCTGGAGTGCAGCAGCAGGACAGCTTCAGTGTGCAGAGACACCAGCTGCCGGAGAGAACCATCTCCTTACTGATCTTTTCAGTATCTCTTCATGCCAGGAATGGACGTAGAGAGTTTACTTTCAGATCCCGTGCTGATGAGCCTTGGCCTCTTGCAATCTCTGAAACAAGTTGCTTGATGGGAAATTAATTGATAGTTGTACAGCCTTCTGAAGATACCAAAAATAGATTCCTGAGTTGCTGGGAATGGAGATGGAGTAAGGTGGATATAGGAAAGAATTTGAATAAAGAACAATTTCCAAGTCTTGACGGAAAATACTGCTTTGTTTTTATACATAAATCTGTTTTACTGTACACTTCATCATGTAGATAAAACTGTATGAATTTAAAATTTACATTTCCAGATAACCAGCTGATTGGTTTATACCTTCTGTGGTCCTACCCAACCTTTTTGGTGTACGAAAATTGAAAGCAATTAGAGGAAAGATGTTTCATTGATACAGGGTACCAGTAGTGTTTCTATGTCTCATCCTGATGCCTATGTGTGTACATTAGAGCTTTCCTATGCTTTTCATGACATAAGTTCATACATGGACGATTATGTGAGGGGACTGTGAGCACTCACCTGCGCCTGTAGTGAGGGCTCTTTAGCCTTCTAGTCAGAGCTGGGGTTTGGAAAAGAAATCAGTAGGTGATAAAACAGGATTTAAACCAGAATTACCTTTTCTCACAGGCGCAGAGAGGAGATAAATCTAATGGAATTGAAAGGGGCTTCATAACATAGCTTCATAGCATTGAGATATATGTGAAAGATTTTTCTAAGAGGAAGTGTAAGAGGGAAGAAGTTGACTTTATACCATCGTCAGGGACGACCTCATTTTAAGAAAAAGAAAGTTGAAGGGGTTAGGGTGTTACACAATCCTGTTTCTGCAGTGTATATGGTTTTCTGCTGTCCTGCTTTGGGCTTTTGATCAGTCGTTAAAAAAGAATCAAAATTATTGAACTGCACCTAAGGTTCACGGTGGACTCTCATGTATGTAAATGAGTTCCTTATATTAAATACTGCAAATCATACTTGTAGCTACTTCTTAATATTTGGCTAGTATATTTCAGCCCAGTACAGCATGCCAAGTTCTCATGAATATCCTTTCTTCATCCACTGATGCCTCTCATAAATTGGCAGGTCTGGAGCACTGATGAAAATTGCTCATTCAGGGTACAGTTTAGAGTGAAGGCTCCTACAACAGAGCATCCACTGCTTCTGCAGCATGCAGAGGCAGCAGTGGTGGATGCTCAAGGGAAGCTAACATGCTGTTCTGGCAGTTAAACACACATATGTAAATGTTTCATATGTGAAAAGGCAAACAAGTACAGTTCCTCCTTAGCTTTATTTTGTAAAATGCCTTTTATATTGCAGCTGGATCACAAAATGAATTGGAAATTAGGAAGAAAAATTGGAAAAGTTGCAAGTCTAAAAGTGTTATAGTGCTACGCACCAAAATGTAATCTTCCAGCTAATTAAAATCTCAATACCTAATCTTAGCTTTTGCTTACTGTGCTGCAGACGCTCCTTGAGTCTATGGTGGATGCAGCGGAAAACCTTTGCCCAAATGTAATGAAGAAAGCTCATATCCGGGAAGACTTGATTGAAGCTAGCACCGAGAAGATTTCCATCCCACGCACTTTTGTGAAAAATGTCCTCTTGGAGCAATCTGGAATTGATATCCTGAATAAAATTAGGTAATTTAAAAGACTAGTCTAACAAAATTGGTTATAGAATTTGGATTTTGGGTTGCATGTATGTGTGTTTGCGTAGTAGAAGATTTTTTGAATGCTTTCATGACTCATGAGAAAGCACATTAGGGTATTCAAAGAGCAGGAAATTGTCCTATAGGTCTGGTGAACTTAGTTCAAGAGATTCAAATATTTGGAATCTCTAGAGATGTTAACTTGATCATTAGTGCATGTGTGTCTATTTATTTAGTAAGAGTTTTGATTTATGGTACACAAATAACAATTTTCATTGCTTATACTTTTTTTTAAGCCTGTTCTTAGGCAACACTGAATTACTGTGGTAGAAGGAAATTGCTCTTCTGTGCTTTGAGTGTTAACAGTGCTTTGTAAGTTGCTGCATTGGTCTTGTCCTGTAGCTGTAGCAATCACTTTAAACCTTTTTGTTTGTGTGGGAGTTGTGCACAGCAGGCAGACATACTTAAAAAATGGAAACTTGGATATTAAAATGACAAACCTGAAGCAGAAACAGTTACTCTAAATGACTCTTAGTTTGCTCTTAAAAAAAAATAAACAGGGGGGGAGGAAGGGGAAGAGGCTTTTACCTGACATTTTACTGCATCTTTTTTTTTTTCATGTTAATTATATACCAGAGAATATATTTATGGAGTATAACGTGGTTGACCTGTACTTAAACCTATACATCATTTGGCTAAGGAATCCTTTCTACTTGATGGAAAAGCATATCATTTTGCATTGTGATGCTAATATCTTTGCAGAAGAAGAAAAAAAGTAAGATGTATAAATTAGTTTCGCAGAGTGCAGCAAAATTGGCAGGAAAAAAATGTTAAAGACTTCAGCTCTGCCTTCAGAGTGTTCGAAGTGGCTCAGGGAGTGAGTTTTCTTCACTTCAGTCCTATCAAACAAATCTTGTCCCTGAGACAATAATAGTGCCACTTCCACCTGTAGTGGAAGTGGAGTGAGGGTGCCACGCTGCAGCTCTTCCTGCCTTATATTATTTCAAACTAATACATAGATAACTGAAGGAAAATTCCTTCACTCTCATTCTCTTCCGACCATGACTTGGCCACTGTTCTACCTCCCTATGAATTGCATTGCCTTTCCAAAGAGTTTCTTACCTTTTTCCCCAGGATTTCTGCAGCAGTGGTGCTAGCCCCAGATATCAGTAGTTTTGTTAATCCAGTGCAACTCAGTCCACTCATTAAAACCTTAAATCAAAATCATGTTACTTGCTGGTAAGCGTTGGTTGAAGCAGTTGGCCTTGAAAGCATAGTGGGAGGAGAGATGGAGCTACGTCTGTGTGATGAGAGTGAAGTTCCTGAGACAGAAAATTAGCTGGAGCCAAAAGAGGAAGCAAAGTTGTGATGGCAAAGAATAGAGAACCAGCATTGTACAGTTGTCCTTAAACCAGCAGACAGATGCAAAAAGGAGTGAAGGAAGTCAGTGGGTTATATTTGGTTGGCCAAAAAGTGATTGCTTTTTCTTTTTTTTTTTTTTTAATAGATGGACATACATGTCTTGAAATGTAATTAGCTTCATTGTAAACCACAAATCCATTCTGTAAGTCAACAGCTGACAGTTCAAACTTGTTTTAGAAAAAAAAAAAGGTGCATGATTTCATTAACATTTATTTTGTGTCGATTTCAAAATCGAAAATCAAAAGGAATGTTTTCGTCATATTTTCCTCTATTACTTCAGAAAAGGAAAACCTCTATGCAAGCTGATAAAAAGTGATGTGATGTGGATGGTGAAGATGCCTTAAAACTACGGCAGTGTCGGCATTGGTTTGCTAAATTTTGGTCCGGAGATTTTGATCTTAAAGATGCACCAAGCTCAGGAAGGCCCATCAAGGTTGATAAGGACAAAATAAAGGCATTGATCAAATCCAATCAGCATTAAATGACATGAGAGATTGCTGATAATCTTAACATAATTAAGCATTGAAAACCCTTTAAAACAACTTGGATACATTAGGAAGCTCGATATTTGGGTGCCACATGAGCTCAGACATTCATCTGACTAAGTGCATTGGCATCTGCCATTCTCTCTTGAAACAAAGAAAATGAACTGTTTTTGACATGTATGATAACAGGCAATGAAAAATGGATCATCTACAACAACGAACAAAAAAGATCATGTAGCACATATGGTGAACCAGCTCAAAGCACTTCAAAAGCAGATATTCACCAAAGGAAGCTGATGCTGTCAGTCTGGTGGGATTTCACAGAATCACAGAACGTTAGGGATTGGAAGGGACCTCAAAAGATCATCCAGTCCAATCCCCCTGCCGGAGCAGGAACACCTAGATGAGGTTGCACAGGAAGGCGTCCAGGCGGGATTTCAAAGGTCTTTTGTATTTTGCATTGCTTCCAAGGAACCAGACCATTAATTTGGACATGTCCTGTCGTCAACTGGATAAATTAACTGATACCATCAAACAATTTTGCTCACTTATCAAGAATTGTTGCAGCTTGGATGGAATATGTTACCACATCCACCATATTTGCCAGACCTGGCACCATCAGGCTACCTTTTGTTCCATTCTTTACAAAATGCCTTAACTGGTAAAACCTTCACTGCTGATAAGGGTATCAGATTGTTCTTGGAACTGTTTTTCTGCTGAAAAAGATAACTTTTTTGAGCACAGAATTATGAAGTTGCCTGAAAGATGGCAAAAGGTAACTGAACAAAATGGTCAGTGTTATTAACACAGTTGCGATTTCCCATGAAAAAAATTGCCTTTCATTTATCCAGGAAAAGATGCAATTACTTTTTGGCCAACCCAATAGTTGCTCAGTGTAGTAGTATTAAACAGGCAGCACTGTCCTAATCCCATTCGTCTGAGATTCATGTTTCTCTGACTTCAGTGGCAGACTGTTCTGTACTGAGTTTCACATGTGGTTTTTATTCAGCTCTCATACCCAGATGTTTTCATTTCAACTCTTAGAGGAATGTTAGAAACAGGTTAAATATGGTACAGAGGCTCTTGTGTTTGCTGTGTGATTCATGAGTTTATTTCTGAAACCTGAAGTCATGTATCCTGAAACCCTCTAATGTTTTACTTCAAATAAAGTGACAGCACTGTGGATCATCATCGCAGTGTTGAACGTGTAATAAAGACACAATTATATTGCATGAATTAAAAATTTCTCTGTCTCGTTCTTAATCCTCACACAGTGAAGTAAAGCTGACAGTGGCTTCTTTCCTGTCTGACCGAGTTGTAGATGAAATCCTGGATGCACTTTCCCATTGCCATCACAAGCTGGTGAGTATTTGCATGGTTGATATCTGAATATGCTGGGTATCTTAACAATGTTATTTACATTCATAAGTTGTTCTGTTTCTCCTTAGCACAGTTCTGGTTTGAAATTGGTCTTCTTATCATTGGCATCGCTAACATAATCTGAAATATAATCATGAGACTCTTGCCTCTTTGCTTTAGGGAAGATACAACCTTGGAAGAGGCTGCTTTATATTTTTGTCCTATTATCTTTTGCACTGTTGTCAACTCTAAAACTAAAAATGCCATTAGGATGCAACATTGAATCATTAGTTAAGAACAGTGCTAGCACTTGTCCTGGTGAGATGATAAGGTTTGATTGCTCATGAAATGAGAGGTAAAATGTCATTCTTTAAAGGAGGGACTGCTGAGATCTTGTTCCCTCAATGAGTTTATCTTGAGGCTACCTAAGAAATGCAGGTATCAAGTCTGAAGAGAAAGGAGTAGAAACATAGGAAATGAACCACTGTTTTTTATTTTAAAGTGCTGAGCTGTCAGGAGGCATGGTTATTTATTATGAAGATATTTGTTTCATCAAGAGTAGAAGAAATAAACAACTGTGTATCCACAGAAAAACATTTTTATTTCTAGTGCTATGGGCTTCTATAAGGAGAATACAGTACTGTTTGTTTGGTTTTTTTAAGAAACCAAGGGGTGGTCATTCTCCTGATTGAAAATGTGCTTTATTTCTGATTGAAATTTCTCTGGCTTCAGCTTGCAGTCATGAATTTTTTCAGATGCTATCCCCACAGGATAAGGGTACCATATATATTTCTCTTTATTTTCTCTCTATAAAAGTCCTCATACACAGAAAACAAATCACTCTTCCCAGCCCTCTTTTTTTTTTTTTTTTAATGAATTGAAGCTGTTGTTTGAGGATGCATCTTCATGACAGAGCAGCATTGTGTAAAGGTACAACCTCTGGTCTTAGGAGCTGTGCAGCAACGTCAGCCTGCTGTGTCAGCGGCCTCATTAATGAGCTCCAGTTGGTTCTGGAACAGGCCCAGCTAGCAGGAGCAGTGGGCTGTCCCTGTCCAGTGTATTGCACAACTTGGACATACCCTACTCTTGCACAGTAAGTCACTTTCTCCAGCCTTTGAGTCACTTCAGTAGCAATCCTCTGCACTTTTTCCAGCTGTTTTAAAAGCCTCTTTTAAAATTATGTTCCCCAGAACCAGACACTGTTCTAATGTTTTAACCAACAACTTCTCTATGAGTGAAATTGCTTTTCTCCTGACACTCTTCACTCCTTGTGTTTACATAGCCAAGAAGATAAGAATTCCTTCCTTTTGGCAGAGCTTCAGTGGTAGCTCATTTTCAGGACTGAGTTTGCTAGATTTTCCTCACAGTAGTGGCTTGACACTTGCTGCTTTTCAGGACTGTGTCCACAGCCAGCTGCCATTGATCTTAGTTCGTAAGGAATGATTGTTTGTACGTTTGATTTGAGTTTATTTACTTTGTGATCCATTTTGGCCTGCATTAGTAACGTGTCCCTTTCACTGTTTAACTCTTCTTTGTTTCTGTTAGCTTATTTCAGATAGTATAGCACTGATGAATTGAAGAGCACATTGAACATTGAAGAGTACGGATCTCAAAAATGCTGGCAGAGGAACTCCTGTCTAATTTGTCAGTATTAATCTTCAACTGACAGCTGCTATCTGAGAGCTGGCAGCTAGTTCTTAATACAGCAAAAAATAAAATGCACTGGCACAGTTCTGTGCCAGCTCCTTAAATTGAAGTGTCACGTACTACTAATTCAGCCACCTACAAATGTCTGTGTATGTTACATTGACACAGTAGTGTTTGAGGCAGATTTGAAAAATAAACCTTGTTCAACAAGATCTAAGTTTGCCTAATGTGATGATGATTAGCATTATTAGTCTAGCCATTTTGGTGTGATTAAAAATAATCCATAACAGCTCTCCAGTTGCTTTTCCTGAGTAGACACTAGGCTAAGTGAGCTATAATTGACTCAGGTCATCTGTTTACCCTTTTGGTGGTTAACAGAACTGCAATCCACTGGTCCAGAGTAGTGCTTATGTTATGTGGTGGACTACAGCTTTCCCTAGTTGTCTCTTTGAAGGTTTCTGTGACTAACTGGTTTGGGCCAGCTGATCTTCAAATACTTGCTTTTAACACATGTCATTTAATATTCTCTTTAGTTACCAACAAAACTAGAAAATACTTCATCATTTTCCTGGCAACATGAACCCACTCCATTCCAAGTACAGTCTAGGGAGGTTTATATAGCATTCTCTGTGCTCTTAGGAACAATTTTCGCTATGTAGGTCTAAAAATTGATTTTGTTATTGTTAGAATTTTTCCTCTCTGATACTTAAAAAAAGTATATTTTAACCCATAGATCTGTCAATGATGATTTTATTTCTTTTTATGGTAACTGCTACCTGTTTCTTCAGTGAAACAGAGTTGAGGTATTTAACAAAACTGTACTGTTATTCAAATAGCAGGTGATATTTTGGCCATCTAATAAATATGAAAATTATATTAGCTGAAATTTTGCAAGTCTTTGTGTTATTTAATTTTTTTTAAAATGGTCCAAGACAAAGCTTCTCTTCCATCTCTTTGTTTTCTTTATAATAAAGACAAGAGAAATGCTGAGAAAGACTTATAATACTATTGTAAGTCAAAAGTAGGGTGGCTTTTTATTTTACTGTTTTCCTTTTTTCCTGTTAGACTTTATCCCTCCCTTCTTTAAAATGTGTGATGGAAAGGCTTTTCCTTCTAAAAAAGAGAGGGAGAAGAGGGGGAAACAAAAAAACCCATACCCTACAAACCCTGTGTAAAGATCAATACACAACTGAGCTTTGCATTTGTAATTGGTCTTCTAGGATCTGTGATCACTTAAGTTCTGTAAGCTTTCTGGTTGGGTTTGGTTTGTCTTTTTTAACTGATTGATGTGTTCTCATCTTCATCCTTAACCTCCAGGCTGACCATTTGACAAGACGTGGCAAACCACTTCCAAAGCAGGAATCACTGGACATTGAATTGGCTGAAGAAAAACCAACCAAACGCTCTATGATCACGGTTGAGGAGCTGACAGAGATAGAACGTTTGGAGGACCTGGACACTTGCATGGTAAGACACATTCCTCAGCACATTTGATTAAGCACACAGATTACTGGAAGAAAAATGTTTTTCAAAATGTCACTTGGCAATTTCATGGTATCGGGAAACTAAAGTTAGGAATTGGCTTCTAGAAAAGATAACTGTTAGCTTGTGAACATCTTATCTGAGTTGCATATTGCCGTTCATCAAAGGAAAAGCTTTTTACTTTTCTTCACTTCTCCTTTCCGTGTACCTTTTCTTGGGCCTTTTCCTTGCATACATTGCTGCAGTCAAGATAATATAATGTGTCTTCCACTGGCTGCAGTTTCACAGAGGTTCAGTTGCAGTAATAAATTGGACCATGCTCTATCCTTTGACAACATGCTGCTTTCTGCCTTTGTCTTCCTTCTACTTGACATGGATTCCTGTGAGCCATAACAATAAATGCTTCTGCCTGAAGTTGTATTATTTGCCATCAACAAAAGTTGATTTTTTTTTTTTTAATGTATGGAAGAAGTCTTACAGCCTTGCGACTGGACTGCAAGTGATCCTAGAGAGCAAACTTTTTGAAAGTAATTGAGTTAGGAGTGTGAGATTCAGTAAAAATGCTGACCATAATGAAGTGCCGTATAAAAATCTCATGTGTGACTTTTATTATAGAAATGGCTCCGTGCTGTATCATGATTCTTTACAAAATGTAAATCCAGAGAATTACAAATAAATGGGTTGCTGGCTGTTTTCAACCTCAAATTCCCCTCCGGACAGTTCAGTCTGTTGAGGAACTCTGCTGTGGATGGGTACTTCGGCGAGCACTTCTCTGGTACAACTTTGTCAGTCTATTTGGTAGTCACTGCTGCCAGGGATGGGATTTCTCCTCTGTCTCCCTACCTGGCTCCTGGGTCATGTGCTTTCACAGGAAAGTAAACTGGCAGAAAAATTGTTTGCATATTTTGTAGAAGGAGTTTCATTGATTCAGTTCCCTGAACAGATTTACTGCAGAGTCAGACAAGTACAGCTTGAGAAAAGGAGCAGGAGGGTTGCTTCTTTCTGCAGTAGACATCTGTTGGTCTCTCTCAGCTAAAAGACAAAAGCACACCTTCACTGGAAACATCAGTTTAAAATAGTTCTCTCTCCCTTCCAAATCTTCTTCTTCACAAAGCTTTGATTTGATGCAGCATTTGTTTGAACATCACAAATACCTGTGAAGCATGTGGTGGTGTTGGCATCATCTGGCTCAGCACTGTTATTATCAAGTTTCAGAAGCTTTCTTGTAGCCAACATCCAGTAATCATTTTGAGCCCTAAATCCAATGGGAGAGAGTCATCCTAGTAAAGTATGTGTATCTATGGGCTGAGGCCAACTGTATGAGCTT